CTTCCTCCTCCTTCTTTACTCCTTCCTTTCTTCTTTCTTCCTTCCTTTTTCCTTCCTTCCTTCCTTCTTCCTCCCTCCCTCTTTCCTTCTTCGTTGCTTCCTTTTTCTTCCTTCCTTCCTTTTTCTTCCTTTCTTCCTCTTCCTTCTTTACTCCTTCCTTCCTTCCTTCCTTCCTCCCTCCCTCTTTCCTTCCTCCTTCCTTTCTTTTTCTTTTTTTTCTTCCTTCCTTCATCATCCTTCCTCCCCTTATCCTTCCTTCATTTCTTCCTCCCACCCTTCCTTCTCTGACTTCATCTACTTTCCTTTTCCTTCCTTCCTTCCTTCCTTCCTTCCTTCCTTCCTTCCTTCCTTCCTTCCTTCCTTCCTTCCTTCCTTCCTTTCTTCCCTCCCTCCCTCACCTGCCTCCCTACCTCGTCACTGGAGGTTTTCAAGACGGGACTGGATAGCCATTTGTCTGAAATGGTATAGGGTCTCCTGCTCAAACAGAGGGTTAGACTAGAAGACCTCCGAGGTCCCTTCCAACTCTGTCTTTCGGTTATTCTATATTCTATTTGGGAGCCAACTCAACCCAGGACAGGCAGGAATGAATTTTTTAGACATTTAGACGTGGAAGCGATTGAGCAAATGGCAAGGCGTGCCATTGAAGGAAAGGTTTCATGAATGTCCCCGTCACAGGGGCGAAAAATGAGGATCGCAAACGGTTTGCAAATGTTGGGGGGGAGAAATGGCATTCTTAGTATGACTAGGAAAAAAAACGGCCCGAATGGGAAAAAAAGGGCTGTGAAGAAAACCGAAAACACTTTAGGGGCAAAGCGGCCGTGCAATTGTCCCAGTTGTGGCTGTGAGGGTTGCAGCTGCACCGCACAATCGGAAGGATGGCGGGTGGGGGACGGTAGTGAGGTCCAAAGAGACGGCAGGACAGAATGAGGGCGGGAAGGAAAAGCGGCTTGAAAAACTCCCGAAGGATATTTTAAAAATGGACAAACCTGACAAAGGGTGGGAAATAAATGGATTTCAGAAATACTGTTTTGCCCGCTGCCATTTTGCAAACAAATAAAATAAAAATGGGGGGGACAGCAGCACTCCCCACCAAAAAAACTCCCCTGAGCCGGATGAGGTGCGAAGCTGCAGCCGAAGGTCCACTTCAGAAGAGCTAAAGAGCGGAGCCTGATGGAAGAGAAACGCTGGAGAGTAAATGAAATTCCTGAAAGAGGGTTCAGTGCTGAAGCGAGAAATAAAATGAAGATGTATGACGTTCCTTTGTTTGTCGAAGGCATCCATGGATGGATGGATGGATGGATGGATGGATGGATGGATGGATGTGTACTGTAAGGGAAGGCTCCTGCTGGCAGGACTGCAGGGAGGAGGAGGAGGAGGAGGAGGAGGAGGAGGAGGAGGAGGAGGAGGAGGAGGGGGGGGAGGAGGGGGAGGAGGAGGGAAGGGAGGAAGGAAGGAAGGGGAGGAGAAGGAGGGGAGGAGGAAGAGGAGGAGGAGAGTGGTGTCCTTGGTGGTCTCTGACCTCAGTTCTTTTCTTACAGACCTTTCATGACCCAAATAAGTAACATCATCAGGGCTAGGACTGGAGTGGAATTAACTTCTCCTCCATCAGCAAACCCCACTCCCTTCCAGCACTGATGATGTTACCTAGTTGGGTCATGAAATGCCTGCAAGAAAACACCCGAAGTCAGAGACCCCCAAGGACACCACAGTCGTTCTCCCTCACCCTTCCTCCTTCTCCCCCCCACACAAACCCCTCTCCTTTCTAGCACTGATGAGGTTCCCTAGTTGGGTCGTGAAACGTCCCCAAGAAACCCACCCAGCTCAGAGGGCACCCAGGAGCCCCCAGACCAGCCCTAGCAGAGCTACAGAGATTCTCTTCCATGGCCCGGCAGGAAGGCCCTGGGATGGGGGGGGGGGTCTATCCCCCCCAGGCCTGAAAGAAGCCCCCCGGAGCCCCTCCCCTCCCTTGACGCCCGTCTCTCTTCCTTTCTCGCAGGAAAGTCCTGCCGGTGCCAAAGAAGCGGATTGGGCTCCCCCTGGACCGGATCGGGGGGAACCGCCTCAGCAGCTCCAGAGGGTAGGAGAGGCCGGTAAGATCAAGACGCCCCCCCCCCCAAAGCCGTGTGCCAGGCGGCCCTGGCCTGGCCCGTCTCTTGCCAGGGGCTGGGCTGGGGGGGGGGGCAGATGGAGAACCAGCCCCCCCCCTTGACCTTCCCCCCTTTCCAGGGGCTTAAAAAGCCTCGTGGGGAGAATTGCAACTGGGTTGAGTTTCAAAGGGACCCAGAAAACTAAATTGGGACCCTGGGATAAATGGAAGTTGCTTTACTTTATTTTTATTTTTTTAATTTAAGGTCAGAGACCACCAAGGACACCACTCTCCTCCTCCTCTTCCCCTCCTTCTCCTCCCCTTCCTTCCT